CCGCCCGCCCCCCCCCCCCCCCCCCCCCCCCCCATGGTGTCCTCATGCCCTACATGCGCATGCCCCACTAGGCATGCCACTCCCCTCCCCAATTTCCACACACTTGGTTTGCCTTTTTTTCTTTCCCAAATTCAAAGCATTGCACTTGTATCTGTGTGCCCATTCCAGGCTTTAGCTCCACCAGCGTGTGGGGAAAGTTTGTGGCTCATTCAGCCAGTCCCAGTCAAAGCTGACGGGACAGAGTTTCTTTCTCTCTTGCTCAGTGCTGTAATGCACTTGGTGTCGCAAATTTTTTGAGGCACTTCTGCAGAACCAAGCATATCAAATTTAATTGCCAGCCTTGAGCTGACAGAAAGTAATTTTTCATGTCACTCTTCTCAAATGTTTTGAACTTAATCTTCAAAGAGAAAAGTGCCAAACAGCGCCTTTAGAATTGTGAGTATTAAATAGAGACAAGTTTTGGCAATTTGCCGAAACTTGTCCTTGGATCCTTCTGTGAGAATCGGGTTACTCACCCATTCTCACAAGAAGCAAAAAACGGACCTTTAGTCCTTGAACTCCCAAAAAACCGTCAAATACCAGTAACTGTACCCCAACGGCGGAAGTTGTAATCTAACCTAAAATCTCTGTGGAAAACTTACACAAGAAACCCTTTTTTCCTGAGGAAATGTCTCAGGATTTTGAATCACTATCCCTCAAACCATCATACTGTGCGGAACATACGAAGTACTGGCAAACTTATCAAGACTGTTGGAAAAACTTCTGAATTTTGTGAATACAACTCTTTTAAAATAGGGTGTTCTTGAGCACCCTGGTTGCAGCCCAACCGATTCCTGTGTTATATTTTTTCTTTCCTTCGTGTACAATATTCTACATTCAAACCTTCGTGGCAAAATTGGTAGCAGAGCGTGGTTTCACGTCTCTTTAAAAAATAGATTCACTTAAGTCAATTCTAATCAAAACAATCAAAAGTGCTGAATTCCTAACAACAAGTGAGTGGATTACACCACCCTTTTTCACATCAAGTGTCACATTGATCAAGTGAAAATTCAAATTTGGAGAATCAACAACAAATACGGTGATATACCCTGAAAAGGGGGGAAAAAACTTTGAATTTCTCGTCAATCACCATGGCCAGAGGCAGACCAAAGGCTCCAGAGGAGTGAAAACTAGCCTGAACAGAGTTACGGCAAGCAGAATTCAAGCAAGAAATCTTACTCCAGTCCTAAGGACTCCAGAAAATATAACCAGAACATCCCGTAGCTCTTCTCTACCATCCACCCAAGAATTTGAATCTCTCATCACTCCAAGAGGAGCTTTAACTCCTAAATTAATCTTACTAGCACGAGCAATCAAGAAAGGTGATGTCGCAGAAAAGACTACCAACACTGAAAAGAAACAGGCCATGTTTGACAAAATCCAAACTCAATTTGTTGAATTCTTAACCTTGTACAATTCTCTTGATACCAAAATCGTTAACAAAGAAGAGATGATACAATTAAAAACTCTAAGATAAGAGATCAAATATTTAGCAACCCTAGACCAAGACTCAATTGAGTCAGAATGGGGTTCTAGACGTCCAAACCAATCCAAGGTATTAACTGTTACGTTCCCTAACCCCGTCACCACTATCATAAGTTCAAATTTAGGACAACAACCAATCAGAGAAACTCTCTCCACCAAAACCACTCAAATGTTAATTGTCAACAGTTCCTCACCCGGCGCATCAAATTCAACACAACAAACTGAATCAATGGATATCAAAACAGAAAGCAGAATCTCAGAACAAATTACAAATCCAACAACAAATATTGTCAAAAAACATACATCTTCCTTATTTTCTTTAGAAGAAAGTTATATTGACAATCAAATTAATCAATACGGGAAGGGAAAATCCATCCGTTCTAATCTAACTGCAAGAGAATACATACAAAACTACTCCCAAAAGGAGTTAAAAACTTTCCGAAAGTTCAGAGTAAATTCAAAACTTGATAGCAACTTTGAACGGGTGTGGAACAAATTCAAACCAATTCACAAAGCACCCACACACAAATTTTCACCACAGGAAAGAAGAGACCTGTTATTGTTGCATTTTGATGAAGACATTCTCCTGCAAATTGACGGCATGAACCTCAAAGAAGAAGAAAGTGACTATCTTGATTTGGTCAGAATGCTTTTCAATAAGTTTGGAAATGTCAGTTTCATAACACAGAAAATATTCAACTCAATTGAAGATCTAAAGCCAGAAGACAGTTCAAGACAAGCAATTGCCAAATATATGACAGCAATTGTTAACTTTGTAGCCAAACTGACTATATTAAAGCAAAATATTTTTTACATACAGAATAGAATCTGGCCAAGTGTACACTTCCATCTAAATCAAGGAAATCTTTATGAAATCTTTAAAAACAAATCTACTCAATTGGATAAAAATAAGTGGGAAACCAACCCTGAAATGATGTACTGTTGGTATTGGAGAGAATTAAACTTGGGACTCATTCGCCTTCCGAAGGAAGAACAAGTTACGATTTATAAAACACTGTCCAAAGCAGTTGATGAAAAAGAAAAGAAAAGAAATTCTAAGTCCAAACCCATCAAAGAGCCTTACAGCACCTATTCAACCATCCAAGTGAATCCTCAGTCACATAAAAATCAAAGTAAAACTTCCACCAATACGGGGAACGAATCCACCCCAGAAGTACAAAATCCTCTTCCACAAATTTCCCAACAAAATCAGGGAAGTAATCAGTCCCAAATTCAAGGTAACCAAGGAAATCAAAATTCAGGATATCAGAATCAAGGATATCAGAATCAAAATAGAGGATATCAAGGCTACCAGAATCAGAGTCAAGGATATCAGAACCAAGGTTATCAAAATCAAGGATATCGCAATCAAAACCAAGGGTACTAGAATCAAAATCAAGGATACCAGAGTTATCAAACTCAAAATCTAGGCTACCAAAGCCAAGGCTACCAAGGTCAGAATCAATATCAAAATTGAAACTCTCAACCACGATATGGACTAGAAACCAACCCGAGGCCACCATTCAAGCCCCATACCCCAGAAGTCTGTCCATACTGTGACCAAGGACATCCTCCACATCTATGTCCCAAGTCACACAAAGAGAAAAGAAGCATCATTGAGCAAAGAAATCTATGCTGGAACTGCCTCAGAGCAGGCCACAGAAATTCCTTTTGTCAAAGCAGATTCAACTGCTCCCACTGCAACAGCAGACATCACACAACTTTGTGCAAATTTTTTGTTCTCCCGTCCTCAACCAAGCAAGACGCTAACAATCCCCAAAATGTACCATCTCAATCAAATCCAAATCACAAAGTGGATCCTGAATTGAAAACTCTATTGGCAAAAATGGTAACAGACAAAGAAATCAGGTCAAAACAAGTCCGGCGAAACAAGAAGCATCAACGTCTTCCACCTTGTGACTAGAGGACCTCCAAATTAATCTCGCAAGGGGGGAATACCCCAACTCATTTGTTGAAACAGCAGAATTCATAGAATCTGAATCTCATGAACCCATATTTGCACTCTTGGACTCAGGTGCTCAAATCAACTTAATCACAAGTGATGTAGTCGCGAGACTCAATCTGAGAGAGGAAAGACACTCTTCAGGATTTAGAATTTCTGGTGTCAACAACAAAAATAAACTAGCTCTAATCTCTCATATCTACACTACAATAACAATACAAGCAGTCAATAACCCAAACTTTTTCACCAAGATACAAGCCCTCATAGTACCCTTAGACTCTCCTTGGGATGGTACCAACCCACAAACCTTAGTCTGGATGAAGGAATATAAACACCTATTGGCTGATAATAGAACAGTTCACTCCCTTGAAGTCCCTTTTGACCTAATAATTGGAGGAAAAGACCTAATATCTATCTTCTCCAATGGAGTGCAACCATACCTCTTAACAGATAGTTTTCAACTTTTATCAACTCAAGTAGGCCTTCTTCCAAGGGGAAACTGGGCCCCAGATGATTACATCTCTCCCCACGCAAGAAAAGTTTGTTTATTTTCAGTAAGACCCAGGGAACATAAACTAACTGATCAATTGCTTAACAAAGAAATTTCAGACTCTCTTAAATTAGATCGATTAGAAATCTTTGGCAAACAAGATGAGCTAGAGAAATCAGATGAAGAAGATCTTGTAGCATATCTATCAAAAATTACGAGGTCAGAAAAAGGAAGAGTCATAGCCCCATTGTTAAAAAACAATTTATTTTATGACCAATGGTCACCTAACCTAGTGTCTGGGGGGCAACAAATGAACTCTGTTATATGCCTCCTTGAAAAGGGGGGGATTCTAGCAGAGGAATATAAAAAATTCATAAGAGAATGGGAAGAGGCAGGAGTCATTACCCCCACTTCTTCAGAAGAACTACAAAGTTCTGGTAAACCCTACACTGAATTGTCCCATCATGGGGTAGAAAGACCCAGTAGCGCCAGCACTCTACTCAGTGTAGTCATTGCCGGAAACTCAGCAGACAGGGGGCGATGTTCCACAAATGAAATACTAGATCCAGGGCCAAACACACTTCCCAAATTACCAAGTATCCTCACAAGACTCTGATTTT